TTTATACGTAACCCTAACCAAACCCTATAACAAACACTCACGGGGCCCCAGGGGCCCCCAGGGGCCCCCGGGGCCCCCCAGTACCTTCAGGGTCCTTCTGGAGAATACTGGGGCCCCTTGGGGGCCCCCGTGTGTACAGGGCCCCTAGCGGGCCCCCAGGGGGCCCCCCTTGTGACGGGCCTGTTGGGGGCCCCCCTTGTGGGGGGCCCCCTTGTGGGGGGCCCCCTTGGCAGGGGCCCCCCGGGGGCCCCCTGGGGGGCCCCACATTGTGATGTGGCTGTGTGCTTGAGGGTTTATAGTGTGAATGTGTTTGGCGTTTAGAGGGGCATTGGGGTGTATGTACAGCTGGAGACACGAGGGGTTTGGGGGGGGTCTCAGCTGTATACTGATGTTTGTTTATATGCATACGCTGCTGCTGCTGCTATTGCTGCTGCTGCTGCTGCTGCTGCTATTGCTGGTGCTGCTGCTGCTGCTGCTGGTTTTGCTGCAGCAGCGGCTGTTTCTACTGCTGTTGCTACTGCTGATACTGCTGCTGCTGCTACGGCAGCAGCAGCAGCAACTGGTGCAGTATCTGCTGCTGCTGCTACTGCTGCTGCTACTGCTAATACTGCTGCTGTATCTTCTGCAGCATCAGCTGCTGCTTATATGCTCTATCTGCTGCTATTGCTGCTGCTGCTACTGCAGCAGCAGCAGCAGCAGCAGCAGCAGCAGCGGCTGCTGCTGCTGCTGTATCTGCAGCAGCAGCAGCATCTGTTGCTGTATCTGCAGCAGCAGCAGCAGCATATGTTGCTGTATCTGCAGCAGCAGCAGCAGCATCTGCTGCTATATCTGCAGCAGCAGCAGCAGCAGCAGCAGCAGCAGCTGCTGCTGCTGCTGCATCATATGGCGAGGAGCCCTGCGTCTTCGAGTTGCGGCAGTGTGAGATAAACCCAAATAACAACAACCCCACCCTTCTGGGGGGAGAGGCCCCCCGTAAGAGCTAGGGGGCCCCCCCTAGGGTCCGGGGCCACGCAGTTTATTTGCTGCTGACTGAAGCTGTTCACGCTGCTGCTGCAGAGACAGCCTGAGGAGACACACACAGACAGCAGCAGCAGCAGCAGCAGCAGCAGCAGCAGCAGCAGCAGCAGAAGCAGGAGAGAGAACGTGAGCTGCTGCTGTTGCTGCAGTGTGCTGTCGTTGCCGTTGCTGCAGTTCTGCTGCTGTTGCTGCAGTGGAACAAAAACAATCCGCAGCAGCAGCACAAACACCAGCACCAGCACCAGCAGCAGCAGCAGCAGTAAAAAAACCAGCAGCAGCAGCAGCAGCAGCAGCAGCAGCAGGGTCACCTGTAGCAGCATCCCAAAGATGCAGGGCCCCCCCCATATGCATGGGGCCCCCA